TGTTTTCAGGCTGACTTAGTTGGACTCGCCTTGTCCCAAGTCCTCTGCCATACTAGTTAGCATGCTTCCCAGAATCAGACTGTGGACTTGGTACATTCTCAGAAGTTTCACCGGTATCGTGGTCGACCTCGTCGTTGCGTCCTACCACTCAGCACTCAGATATAGTCAGTTAAAGAGGCAAGTGAAGTCAATCCCTTCACTCACGGAGTGATAGTACAATTGTTTCAGCACAAAGTTGGTCAAGGGATAGACTTCACTAGTCTCTTTGACTAGTTGTGGCTCAGTGCTGAAAATGGTGCTGACGCTGAGAGTGCACCAAGTCCACGGTCCGAAGCTGGGAATTATGATAATTACTATAGCAGATGACTTCGAACAGGAGGCGTCCAACTAAGTCGCCCTGACAACACGACCAAATTGCGAAAGCAAGGTCAGACCATTTCTATACATCGAAAGGAGACTGCAACCAAAATGGAGGCCACAACACCTTGGTCTTCACATATAAGAAAAATTAACTAGTTCAACCCATTTGTGAGTCTCGGTGTTAAGGCTACATCTGGTCGATTAAGGCATGCAGATGTTAATAATCAACAGCCATTTAAAGCCTGTTGGAGTTGAGTGAACTTCCAACCCATTTTCAGGACAGTCTCGAGGTACAGATAGGCGTTATTCTGCCAGATGAGGTCCTATACTTGGTGATTTTGTACCATTTAACCTTTTTGAACTGCTGAGTGTCCATCCATTATGAGTTTTGGACCCATAAACCTTTGTAGAAGTTTCCGAGTTTGAATAGCCTCTTTTCAATGTGTCGGCAGGTCTCTCTCCAAAAGACGCTACTGCATGAGCACAAAACTACACAACACTCTACTATCGAAAAGAAGGCGTAATTAAGAAAAGTGTTAGTCTCTTTCTATACATAATCTTTATTTTCTTTCTTACTAATTGGATTTATATCTTTTATGCAAAATGACAAGATAGTGACATCACAAACCAGCAAGAGTTATCCAACTCCCTCTTTTGCCCTATATATTTGTTACACCTATTTCTAAAGGTTGTAAAATAATTCGCGATTAATCTTGAATAATAAGTACTCTTAGAAATAATTTAAAAAAATATCTTAATTCACATTCCTAAGACACAAACTTCATAGCATTAGAAATTATAGAATTAACCAGTAGTTTGTGTTTCCTACATACAGCTTTACTTATTTTTTCCCTTCTTTGCAAACACGACATTGAATTCGGTCGAGCTATCGTTTATATGTATCAATTTAGGGAATTTCTTCAGACACTTTTTACCCTGTTACCAGGTAGCAAAACAGTCTTTTCTGCATCAAACCAACAACTTGGCGACTAACAGTACTTGTTGAGTCAAGCGAACCTTTAAATGAGCCATATAGTATTTGTACATACAATGTATCATTAAAGAAAAACTATATATATATATATAGTATTGCAAAATTCGTCATCTTTATGAGTCATTCTTTGCCAAACTTTTTTGCCCGTTTAACTCACTGGTTGTTGACCTAATGTTGAACTACTTACTGAAATAGATATACGTAATGAAGGATACAACAACATGAGACCTGTGAGGGCATCTTTAACAGAAAGTTTAACTTTATCTCTACGAGTCTCATACTTACTTCGACAATGCTTCATTAGGTAGATTTTTAGATTACTTCGAGTCCTGAGATTACATATGTTCCATAAGTCCACACCCCTTTCCAAACAGGAATCGAACCCGGATCGTGCTAGTCAAGCAGCGACAGATACCACTCCACCATGAGTGCAGATGCAAAAGCAAGCTAAGTCTCTCCAATTTCCCTTTCGGTGGTGATACCGTTGTCGATAAAGCAAGTTCTTATGTGCAATTGCAATATACAACACTAATACACAATAATTAAGTAGGTTCTGTAACTATCTACAGGTCTTGTGTACAAACTTTAATCACCTTTTATCCAATTCCTGGTAGATAATTTAACTGTCAGTGCTTTCTCACCTTAAGCATGCAAAGGTGTCTTGGGTGATGGTATCGAAATCTAATTCGTGAATGGTTCGTGAATGAAGGTGTTGTGCAGGAGGGTCTCGGGTCTATCGGCAGACGAACTGCCAACGACTGGGGTCTAGAACGACACAACTCGTCATATTTGGGGATCCACACTTCAGCACTTCAAGAAAAAGTCTCCTCTTTTCTCCTCAAAGTGAGACACTATTTGCTTTTCGTATCAGTCCCATCTGCTTCGCTCGCCTCCTCCACTTCCTCACACGGCGTCGACTTTTCTCCTTCTTCCTGCTCGTTTGGTGGCTTGCTTATTTTCCAGCCCGTCTTTCTGGCCTCATCCTTAGTGCAGCCACAATCGTAATCGTCTTAAGCATCATTATCATCTTAATTTGTCTCCTCTTCCCTCTTCACTGAACCATGGATATTTTCATCCATTTATTAATCACTCCAATATGTATCCTCTGCTGCTCCCCTCATGAATACGGTCAACTGCCATCTTAATTTCAATTGCTCGATGCTTCATTTACCCTACACTTCGTTACTCTGCCCGGCCATTCGCGTCCACCGCATGCCTCCACACAACTCGCCTCTACCCTCCCTTCAAAGCCCTCTTCGCTCGGACACACCCGCCGCGGAGATGTGCCTCTTTCCTGGCCGGCCATCGCGAGCACCAACAACACTGCATCTACCTCCACCTCACTTGCGCACCCCACAACCAGCACACAGACCACACATTTAACACAAATACACACACACACACACACACACATATATATATATATATATATATATAAATTGGCATCAGCAAGAGACACGTAAGCGCATACACATACAAATAACTCTACATCACCGAATGGACACATGCATACGCTGGGACAGGTACATATACGTGTGCATATGCACACACAGACAAAAGTTGGTTCACATGTGCATATGCACGTGTATACGTTTCGTTTGCTGTTTATTGGCCTACAAATGTGTACAAATTCGGCTGTGTACGATCAGTGTATTTGGTCCGGCAGACCTAGGAAAAGGCTTGTGGACCGAGTTTTCCTTACCAGCGCAACTCCAACGTATGCAACCGCATGGGAGAGGCAGTGGGTGAAATACCGTACACATCTGGCACACCCATAAGAGTGTGTGCATTCTACTAATAACGGCTTGCCCATACCTTTCTGTTGGGTTGGTCTAGAGAGCAGGGCAGTTTCTTCCCTCCCGAGGCAAGAGGTGGACGGGCAATCACAAATAGGCTTCCCTCCTTAGCCTCGAACAGAAGGAGTTTGGTACGAAAAAGGCTATCCTCGTGGCGGCCACTTGACCACATACTTAACTCGCCGTCCTCACACTAATCGCCCATTACTTCGTCGGCAGAAGACGCTGACATGTCAACCAGCAGTGCGTCATCGGTTCACATGCAGGCGAAAAGGGATCGACCAAATGTGGTCCTGCCACCGGGATCGTTGGTATCTATGCGGCAAGAATTGTTACAGAAAGGACATCAGAGACGTGCGAGCACATAAACAGGCTCTTATTCAAGATCACCAATACAAGGTGGCAGATACAGGTTTGTATAATCGACAGTCCAAATATAAATTATGGTTTAGAAGAGGCCTGGCTGACCCTAAAAGTAGCATATACCCTGTGGCCCAATTGCTGCTTGATGAGCACAACCTGAGCTCGAGTCCCGTTAATAATGACAGGTGGAATTGAGTGAAAACGCAATAGCATCGTGAGGTCTATTTAATTCATTACGGAAAATCCAATTATCAAGCGACCCGAAACTATCAGAGAAGGATACTATAGCGCAAGTAATAGGTGGACTATTCATAAAGGAAGAGTGATGTCTATTGGAACCCACTAGTTAATCGTTTGTTAAGCGAACGTTAGTACGTCGAGAGGGATAAAACGTCGCTTTCAGGTACAAGAGGGAAGGAGGAACAAACCTGATATTCACAAAAAGTGAGTTTCGAAACTATCAGTATAACATGAATAAGAGTTTCAATCACCTCATATCGCATAGATTGATGAAGGACTGATAGTCGAATTTATCCCACAATGCTACGATTTACTGTGATTTTCGAAGCCTAGTTTATATGTTTGTAAGTAGGTGAGTCGATCGTAATGGCAAAATACAAGTTTGATAGTTGAAATAGGACTTACGTTTCCAGTGAATTTCAGAAAGCCTTGCTTCCCAAGAAGTAATATCATCCAGGGAGAACTGCGGTTTCGACCTTGCCTAGGTCTCATTGGCACACTCGAACCCAACTATCAGACCTTAATCACCTTATGCAGGATAAAGCGAATACAGCTCTTACTCAAGTTCTACTCTGAGTTCCGAAACCTGCTTACTACGAAAGTACAAGTTAGCCGTATTGGCAACTTGAGGCATAATCATATGATTGTGGAAAAATTCTGACCTGGGATGCCTGGAATTCATATAGGAAAAATGAAAAGGTTTAGATTGAAAAAGTTGTCACGAGGGGTTGTATTGACAGTCAGCAATCCCTAAACTTATTCATTCAGCATATAACTATTATTAATTTTGACTATCGGTGAGAAATTGACAATACCAAGAGGTTTTAGAGGAAGCTCCTAGTATATCCTTTCTCAGGTGACATTCATTTCGTGTGAAAGTGTCAGGAAGAGACTCTTAGGTCATTCTCATTCGGAAGATGACAGCGGATTCCGTGTGGTCTCGTGTAGGTCGGCTTTACTGGTAAAACTCGAGACCCCCTATAGGCAGGCGTAAATTCATCTAGTTTGGAATAAAATCGTAAGTGTTTTTTTCCCAAAGACAGCGTCGACATAAAGGCTCAAACCGCAAATACTATCGAAACCGGTGTCATCTTCTGGTAATGCTGACCCACTGCTCTCAGTATTGCCCACTTTTACACAAAATAAAGTCATTAAAAATCTTACATTTCAACGAAAATTTTGCGATAAATGTATTCATAAATTGGATTAATTAGAAATTGACCTTCGCTAAATGCCAAGTCAAGAATAGAGGCTGACTGCAACCCTGCTCACTTCTTGTAACCTGATTTTAAGGTCTCCACGAGGCTACATGCTTGCAGATGCTCAAAGCTGATGAGTAAGTGGCCCAACCGACCCTTAGTCTGATTCTGTATTGTACGTTTGGTAGGCATGCCATGCTCATGTGTCGATTGACATTTTGCAACCCTGACCATCCTCTTCATTTTCGCTCCTTTATCTTGTTCACGCTCTCTTCTAACACCATTTATGGATCAGTCTTAAGAGGAAACCAAGAGATTGTTACTCATATTGGTTACCAGGTATGCAAGGGTAATAAAGTTTGTAACATCCTGAGGAAAACTTGGAAGAAAGACGTATACATGTGGGGTAGACAGGAAATAGCCAAATAAACAATGGGGTGTCTAATTAAAATAGCAAGGTTTAAGGAGCTAATAAAATTAATAATGAAGAGGCCTTACTCTGGGGTAATGTGTGTAAGAAAGAAAGTGTGATGCATGAAACAGCACAACTTAGGAGGGCGAATGGAAGCGAGTGCCGTTTCCGATGGGGATTCTAATCACTTCTTTTGGTTGTTGCATGAACAAGGAATATAACACGGGAGTTTGCAATGGGCAGAAAGTCTATCAAGGCCCCAATCATGAAACTTACAATTTTAGTAAGAAATATTCATTAGTGCTGACAGTAAACTATAGAGCAAGAAGTCATGTGTGGGTTTGACCCCACTTTTGCAACAAACTCAATTACTCGATTGGAGGAATTACTTTAGGTTAGTGAGTATAACAAAGTGAAGGAGTAAACATACTGTGGAGTTTGAAAATAGTTGAGTGTCCTATTCTATAAACGATGGCCCAAGTTGTGTGGAGGCTTGTACAGGAGTCCTCAATTTCCTTTCTATTCACTTTTATCAAACTTAAGAGGGAATAATGAGGTCAATGCTGACAAGTGTCTGGCAGACACTGGACAAGGAAGTGTGAAGTTTCAGGAAATTTTTAGCTCGAAAAACTATCAATTGGAATTTATTATCAGCTATTTTCGAATAATATGCAATAGATTAAGGGAAACAATTATTAAGTTCACACCTTCGGCTTTCGAGAAAAGATATGGTAACTAGTGATAAAGTGAGATAGCAGAGTTTTGTATGATGAGATGAGATCAGATTGTTAAAAGCTGTTGTGTTCATGTGATAATGCGTGTGGGGGATTACGGCCTATTAATGCAAAAGATGTTTTCTGGACAAAAATTGCTTAAAAAGTTTGTATATCTGGGACAAATGGGAATTACAGAGAGACTGGCCTATACTTCACCTTTTGCAAGCTATGGAGAATTGACAAATTCTCGGAAGATTAGCTAATGGATACAAATTATCAAATCCATCAACATTCCGGAGAGAAAGAAAGAGTGAGGAAATTGAGCAGGAATTACTTCTTGTTGTGTAAATAGAAATAGGTAGAGGAAGCAGCAAGAACCAGCAAGTAAGGGGAGGAGGCTTGATTAGTTTTAAGTCTAGTTGGTACCTTAAAAATCTCAGATGACATGCAAGCGTTGCATGCATACAATGCGCGAGTAATCACTCGACATAAACACGAATTAACATTACACACTCGCAGGACAAGTCAATTAGATTAGCGAACTGGTGTTTGGCCACATCCGTATCGACTGTCCGCATCTGCATGCATTTTAGGAGAACAATGAATTGGCCTCATTTAACTTTAGAAATTAACTTATAGGAAGCAGTTAAGATTAGAGCTGGTCATCAGTTATTGTCATGCTCACTTCCATTTCGAATAAAAGGGTATAATGAGGAGATTCTAAACAGGCATCTGAGATGGCTAAACCAAAGCACTCTATAACTCATACAATTTAAATGAAGCAGTGTATTCGTTAGCTTGAATTAGTTGTAATAATGACACCCTGCTCTGATGATGTCAATCATATCACAAGCAAAAGCTTAGCGCGTTTGCATCGATATTGAAGATTGCCTTGAAGACAGAACCAAACAACCGATATTGAAAAGGAATCGGACATCGTTTTCTGGTGGGGTTGATATTCTAAACAATTGTAAATCAAAAACGAAATTAGTTGGGTTTTGGAAAATCCCTGAATCGATTCAATTTTTCAGACATTCTATCTCTTTTTATAAAACTGAGTGGAGGTAATTCATGAATCAACTACATTGGAAACGGAGGGCAGAGTTCTTTGTAGTTGCTACGGCTGATTAGGTACATCGTCTTGAAGCCTCATTAAAAACGTGACCAGTTACTTGTCTGTCGCACCGTAACAAAAATCGTCAATACGTAAAGGCATACCCTACCAAATTCATGCTAATAAACTTTTTATTTCGATTGTAAAAATGGATGGAAGAGACCCGTTGACTGGCCTCGTCGGAACCAGGAGGGAGCTCACCTTAGTGCAATGACTTTTGAGCTAAGCCTAAAAGTCTTCAATTCCTATCAATCTGAGCTGCCTTTTCGGTTGTCAAGACGTGATAGAGGTCACCATTTGATAAAAACTAATCTTTGAGACAACTGCACCACTCGCGAACCAACGATTACCGTACATGACATGACATTTGTAAGCACAAGTACAGCACGTAGTATATGAGTTGTATTCTACCAATTTGGTAAAGGCGATAAAGGAATGTTAATTGAATTTTTCCACATTCATATGACTAGGCCTTATGTTCCCAATTAATTTCACATAACCTTTCTTTCAAAAGACTATTCTCATTCGGGCCGGGGTAGAATG